AGGATGAACCGTCGTCATTGGAAGAGGAGGAGTAAGAGGAGGAGGACGAGGAGGAAGAGGAGGAGGAGGAGGAGCAGGAGGTGGAAGTGGGGGAGGGGGAGCGAGGGAGGGAGGAGGAGGAAGAGTAGGCGGAAAAGGAGGAGGAACATGAGGGGGGGGGGAGGGGGAGGAGGAGGAGGAGGAGGAGGAGGAGGAGGAGGAGGAGGAGGAAAAAGGCGAACAGAAGAGCCAGAAGCCTCTTGAATGCCTCTCGGAGTCTCCTCGGATGTCTCCGGGAAGCTTTGGATGCCTCTTGCAACAACGTCTGGGGGAGCTCTTTGCGGGCCCAGGGCCGTGTTTGATCGTCTTGGGTACCTCGGAGATCATCTTGAGGCCGTTTGGTGGTCTCTTGAGAGCCTCTTGGAGGCCTCTTGGAGCCGTCTGGGCGCCTCTTGGGTCCCTCTTGGGGCGCTCTTGGGAGCTTTAGGGGCGCTCTTCGGGCCATCTTGGAGGCCCTCGATCAAACAAGAGGGGAGCTCTCATCCCCCCCCCCCCCCCCTTCGGGAGCCCCAATCATCGCCTCTTGGGGCGCTATTGGGGCGCTCTTGTAGCGCTCGTGGGCGCTCTTGGGGCCGTCTCGGGGCTCTCTTGGGCCTCTCTTGGGGCCCATCTTGGAGCCATTTTGAAGCCTCAGATGGCCATCAGAAGCGAAAAGGCGAGAACGCAAAAAAGCATTGATGTTCCTTCGGTTTTGAAAGGATGTTGGCCTCTTCGGGGCTTCCTTGGGGAGCTCTTCGGCAACTTGGAGCCGTCTTGGAACTTTCTTGGGGCATCTTGAAGCATGTTGGAGGTCATCTTGAGGCATCTTGCGCTATCTTGATCCATCTTGGAGGCCATCTTGGGCTCTCTGAGGCCCTCCTGGAGCTGTCTTGGGCCATGTTGAACGCCCCGACCGCTCGCGAACCCCCCCGTCCAGGTCCAGGGGAGGGGTAGGGAGAGGGGTAAACCCCTCCCCGAAGAGGAAAAAGGGGGGTGGAAGAGGAACTGCCCTAGAGGAGAAAGGGGGGTGCAAGAGGAAACGCCCTCGACCACCTACGCCCGGAGGGCTGGTGGGATTATCAAACCTTGATTGGAATCGTTAGGTTTTGGCCATATTCTAAGTTTTCGCTGTTCCAACTGTGTCCCCACAGGAAGCGCGCAGGACGAGGCGCGGTGGAGCGACAGTGCTCTGATCTGGCGGTGTTGGAGGAGAAGTAGGGTCGGAGGAAGGGGGGGAAGGGGTGGAAGGAGGAGGAGGAGGAGAAGGAGGAGGAGGAGGAGGAGGAGGGTGTACAAACGAGGAGGAGCAGCAGCCTGAGGACAGGAGCAGCATGATGATGAGAAAGGACGGGCAGCAGCAACAGGACGACAAGGAAGAGGCCGGATGAGGAAGAGGAGGGGGAGCGGGAGGAGGACCGGAGGAGGAGTGAGGACACTGAAAAGGAGGAAGAAGCTGGTGGCGACGGCGACAAAGAGGAGGGAGGCAGAGGACGGGACGGGACGGGAGAGGAGAGGAGAAGAGAGGAGAGGAGAGGCGAGGAGAAGAGGAGGAGGAGGAGGAGGAGGAGCAGGAGGAGGGGAGGAGGGGAGCAGGAGGAGAAGCTGGAGGCCTCTCGCCCGAAGCCCGCGCCCCGCGCCACGACCGGGAGGCGCGGGCCGCCTCGTCGCAGGGGGGCGCCTGGGCCGAGTCGCTCCAGGACGCCTCGCTGGGCCACACGGTCCGCCCGCCCGGCCGCCCGCAGAGCGGGGCACACCCACACGGAGATGCGAGGCGGGGACGGAGGAGGAGGAGGAGGCGGAGGAGGCGGAGGAGGAGGAGGGAGGAGGGGGGAGGAGGAGGAGGAGGAGGAGGGAGGAGGGAGGAGGGAGGAGGGAAGAGGGAGGAGGACGGATGGTGGAGGGAGGGAGGGAGGGAGGGAGGGAGGAGGGGGAGGGAGGGAGGGAGGGAGGGGGAGGAGGCGGAGAAGGAGGAGGAGAGGAGGAGGGCGGGGAGGAGGGAGGAGGAGGAGAAGAGGGAGGAGGGAGGAGGGAGGAGGGAGGAGGAGGATGGAGGAGGGAAGAGGGAGGAGGACGGATGGTGGAGGGAGGGAGGGAGGGAGGGAGGGAGGGAGGAGGGAGGGGGAGGGAGGAGGGAGGGAGGGAGGAGGCGGAGAAGGCGGAGGAGGAGGAGGAGGAGGAGGAGGAGGAGGAGGGAGGAGGGAGGAGGAGGAGGAGGGAGGAGGGAGGAGGGAAGAGGGATGAGGACGGATGGTGGCGGGAGGAGGGAGGGAGGGAGGGGAGGGAGGGAGGAGGGAGGGAGGGAGGGAGGGAGAGGAGGAGGAGGAGGAGGAGGGGACGAGGAGAGGAGGAGGAGGAGGGAGGAGGAGGAGGGAGGAGGAGGAGGGAGGAGGGAGGAGGGAAGAGGAGGAGGACGGATGGTGGAGGGAGGGAGGGAGGGAGGGAGGGAGGGAGGGAGGGAGGAGAGGCGGAGGCGGAGGAGGAGGAGGAGGAGAGGGGGAGGAGGGGAGGAGGAGGAGAGGAGGAGGAGGCGGCGGAGGAGGAGGCGGAGGAGGAGGGGGAGGAGGAGGAGGAGGAGGAGGAGGAGGAGGAGGAGGAGGAGGAGGAGGAGGAGGAGGAGGAGGAGGAGGAGGGAGGAGGAGGAGGAGGAGAACAGCGAGGATGAGGAGGAGGAGGAGGAGGAGGAGGACCAGGAGAAGCAGGACGAGGAGGAGGAGCAGGACAATGGAGGAGGAGGAGGACAACAGCGGGACGATGTGGAAGGACGCGTTGGTTGAGGGAGGCGCGGGACCTCGACCACCCTTGCGCCCAGGGCCTCGGCGCCGCCCGCGCTCGGAGCGCGGCGCGCGGGGCCGCTTCGCGAAGGGCTGCCCGCGGAGGGCGGTCGCCACCGTGTGCGGGTCCAACGAGGCCTTGGCAGTCTGGGCTCGAGGCCGGCCCCGATCGCCCGCGCGACCCGCCCCCGCGGGGGGGGGCTGTCCTCGTCGCGGACCGCTTCGCGGCGACGGAGGGGGTCGACGCCGCCGGGGCCCCGCTGGTCACTCACGACGGCTGCGCGAGGCCCGGCGACGCCTGGGCGATCGCAGGCAGCGACGTCAGCCAGCGGTCGGCCGGCCTCGACCCGAACTGCCCCACATGGGCGGCCACCACGGCGCCTCAGGCCGACAACCTCGGGCAGCAGCTGGCCCCTCGGCGAAGTCAGGGGGCCGCGACTGCACCGTCCTTTTCGGCGACGACGCGGGCCTGCAGGCGGGCCGACGGGCTTCAGGAGGGACAAACACACAGACACAATGAATCGTCGACTTCCAGGAAAGATGGAAAAATATGGGAAGTCGGGGGGAGGACAGACATCCAGAACAGATGGGAGACTGTGGGGACTCGTTTTATCTGTGTGAATTTACTTGTGTGTCCTTGGGCCCCATTGAGGGCTGCGGGCCGGGCGCGGGCGCCGCCCGCCTCGCCCTTCTCTCCCCCCCTTGAAGCTCGCCGAGTGCGAGCGGGTGTTCGGCGAGGCGGTCGCCGACGCGGGCCTGTCCACGCGCCGCAGCACTCGGCGCCGCAAGCGGCGCGGCGGCCCCGGCACCGCCGCGGCCCTCAAAAACAAGGGCGCCCTCGAGGGCGCGAAGTTCTTCGCGCTTCGCGGTTGGGCTCCGATTCCTCCTCGTCCTCCTCCTCTCCCCTGGGAGGCGGCGCGGGAGCGCGAGGTTATTCGCGCAGCGCGCAGCGCGAAGTTGGGAGCCCTTGCAAAACTTCGTTCAATTCGGGAAACGCACACAGGCCTGTGGATGTCGGCCTCAGATGCCAGAAGCTGTGTCGGAAAGATGTATCCAGCTCAGCCCGGTGCCGTGCTCGCAGCCCTCAAGAGGCGGCGGTCGCATGTCAAGCGACCTCTCAGGCTTGCGAATGACGATCCCCGCCTGCCCCTTACCTTCAGTTCGTGATTTCTGGTGCGGGCGTTTGTTCAGAAGTCTTTCGATACTTCGGCTGTTTGCATGACGCGCGATGGGCATCACCCGAGAAGCGGCGCGCATGAGTGACAGTGGGGGCGCGTGCCAAGAAACCAGTTGGATTTTGCCAGGGTGCCCTGGGTTTCTTGGATTTTGATGGGCTCCCAATCAGATCTTGACGATTATCGATCGACGAATTTGGATTTTCAACGAACACATCGCGGATTTCAGGGTTGGGTCTCTTGCGGAGGTGTCTTGTGGCCGAGCCCCCTCTGTACGCCCCTGGCAGAACATGTCGTGATCTATACATGGTCCAGCTCTTCGCGCTCTGCGCGTCTGCTCTGGTCGACCGCGTAGAGATCCCAACTGGTGTTTAAGCAGGGTGCTGCCCTTGGCATCGCTGGATTGGGTCTCGATGGGCGAGCGCTCCGTGCATCCGCTGCTGTGGTTTGGAGGTTCCCTTCCAGCCTCACCATAATGGCGTGTGCGCTCATTGTTATGTCGATACTTGGGGTATTGATACGATACGCGGTAAGCCTCAGTCGAGAAATGGCGTGTGTGAGTTACGCCCATGGCAAGCAAGTTGTGCCTGTTGTGCCTGTTGCCAGCGCTTCGCCTGTCCGCTCCGGTCGTCCGTGTAGAGATTCCAACGGGCGCTGGAGCAATACATACATGCACACGTACATACAACACTACGTACGCATATACATACACACAATCATACATACATACACACGTTCACACCTGTCATATACATTCATACATACGTACATGCATACACACATGCATACATGCATACATACATACATACACACATACATACATATATATATATATACATACATACATGCATGCATGCATGCATACATACATACATACACACAGACATACATACACGCCTACACACATACACTCATATATACACACATACACACATACAAACAAACAAACATACTTACACACATACATACAAACATACATACATACATACATACATACATACATACATGCATACATGCATGCATACATGCATGCATGCATGCATGCATGCATGCATACATACATACATACATATACACACACACATACACCCTTACACACATCTATATGTATACATATATATATATATATATATACACGCGCGAACAATGCCTCGCAGGGGGTTGTGTGGGAGGGGGTTAGGCGTTTCTTGGAGCCGCTAAAGATCCCCGAAACGGCACTGGAGGACCCCAGGAGAGCTCCGAAACGGCACGGGGGTTCCCCAGAATTGCCCTGGGACGGCCCAATAAGGCCCCCCGAGACGACCAAAGACAGCTCCGAAATGACCCACGACGGCCTTCAGACGGCCCACGATGCCCACATGACGGCCTCCCGCAGGCCGCCATGACGTTCCAGGACGGCCTCGAGGGGGTCTTGGAAGGCCCCAATAGGCCGAGATCATAGATTTCCCATAGGATCCCCACGGATTCTGAAATCCTCGCGCTCTCAACCGTCTGGACCGCCAAGCTGGCTCAAGAGACCTCCAGGATCGCCTCGAGACGGCCCGAGACGCGCCCAAGAAGACCCGAACAAGACAGCCCACGAGGGGCGGACTCGTGGCCCAACGGGCCCCCAAGACGGCCCAATCAACTTCCCAGAAGGCCCCCCATTCACGGGCGAAGGAACCCCCAAGAGGGCCCCCCTGAGGCGGGTCAGAGGGCCCCGAGTCTGCCCACGAGGGCCTCATGGACGGCCACAGAGGGCCTAAGACGCCCCAGAGGAACGCCAGAAGGGCCAGAAGAGGCGAAGATCACCGATTCACGCTCGTTGCCCATCGCGCACCGCACCATGCTGGCACTTGCGCGACAGAGACAGAAACACGCGTGGGCAAGTTTCGATCGACGCAGCGCTGTGGATCTCATCCGCACGTCCATGTATGTCTATGTGTGTAGATGTGTGCGGGTACGTATGTGTATATCTTAATGTGCATGGGAATGCTCTTGTTGATTCTTATGTACGTCGATCTAGATGCGTGTATATGTATGTGGTGATGCCATATGTAGATGTAGATGTAGATGTGGTTGCACATGCAGATGTATAAGCATGTTTGTATGTATGCGAAAATGTATGATTGTAGGTATATGTATGTGTATGTGTATATGTATAGTGACGGGTATATGGCCGTATATGTACAGCTACATGCACGTGCATGTGTACATGCATATATATGTCCAGGTCTATATGCATTACACGTGTGTGAGATAGTCACCGGAAAAATTGCTGTGTACGCGTGCATTCACATATGTGTTTTCACATGTGTATGTGTATGGATAGGTATGTGGAGATGTATATGCTTAGCCATATCTATATATACATGTGGATGTACATGAATTTGTGAATGTTCATGTTCATTGATATGTGTATGCATATGTATATGTCGATGTTTGTATGTACACATGTCTACGTAAACGTATGCACATGTGTCGATTGGTGTGTATGCGCAGGCACATCATCATGTCTGTATATGTTGTTGTGTATGTGTATGTATGTGTAGATGCACATGCAAAGGCATCTGTATATATATATATATGTGTGTGTATGAGTATTGGTATGCCTGCGTATGTGAATACATCGGCGCTACAAAAGTTTTGACCCGTTTTATGGTTTCAGCTAAACAACGCTTGAACATCACATTGGTCATGAACACCACGACGGCTGTGAGCGTCTTGATTGAGGAAGTCCTGGGCGGAAGCGCCATTTCGAAATCGAGCCCGAAGGTTTCGAATGCTGTTTAGGAGGAAGTCCTGGGCGGGAGCGCCATTTCGAGATCGAACGGAACACATGCCGAACCGCATTTTGCAGGAAGTCTTGTGCGGGAGCGCCATTTCGAAGTCGAGGCAGAAAGGTTTCGACTTCTGTGTTTGAGGAAGTCCTGTGCGGGAGCGCCATTTCGAAATCGAAGCAGAAAGGTTTCGAATTCTATTTTGGCAGAAGTCCTGGGCGGGAGCGCCAGTTCGAAATCGAACCCGAAAGTTTCGAAATCGTTCGAAATCGTTTTTCCGAGGAAGTATCAAGCGAAACCGCCGTTTCGAAATGGCCACACCGTTTGGCATTCAAATTTTAAAAGCCCTGACCCGAAAACTCGAAAATGCAGCTTTCGCTTAGGACTTCCTCCCCAAAACGAGCTCGACTGGATTTCGACCCCCCCGGGCTCGATTTCGACATGTGGTTTTCTCCTAGGACTTCCTCCCCATAACGAGCTCGACTGGATTTCGAAACCCGCGGGCTCGATTTCGAAAGGGCGGTGCCGCCCGAGACTGGAGCGAAAAATGCTTCAACCGAACATTGTACTGGGGCCCCGCAGCCTAACAGGTCCACTGCCAACGTTGTATTGGGGCCCCGTCGCCTAACGGGAGGCGTTGAATTTTGGCCGAACTTTCGTAGCGGCGAAGTATGCACGTGTACATGCATGGTTGTATGCATATGTGTATGCATATGCATGTTTGTGTGTAAGTGTATGAGTGTATGTCTATGCATGTCTATCCATGTGTATAAGTATATGTATGCGTATATGTAGATGTATATGTAGATGTAAATACATACATGTCTATACATTCGTGGTTGTGAATATGTGAATGTATATGTACATGTAATTCTGTGAATATACGTGAATATACACATGTGCAAATGTGTATATGCATATGTATGTGTATACGCATATCGACTTATGAATAAGTCAGAGTGAGGGGGCCGAACGGTCATTCATTGTCCGTGGGTGCATGGCTGAAGAGGATACCGTGATGAGGATTATGTTTGTTGCGTCGTTATTTGTTGTCGTCGTCCCACCCGCGACACACCCGCGACCCACCCCGCGACTCACCCCGCGACCCGCCCGCGACCCAACCCGCGACCCACCTTCGACCCACCCCGCGACCCACCCCGCGACCCACCCCGCGACCCACCCGCGACCCTCCCGCGACCCTCCCGCGACCCACCCCGCGATCCACCCGCGACCCAACCCGCGACCCATCCGCGACCCGCCCGCGACCCACCCGCGACCCACTTGCGACCCACCCCGCGACCCACCTGCGACCCACTTGCGACCCACCTGCGACCCAACAGCGACCCATCCGCGACCCCCCCGCGACCCACCCGCGACCCAACAGCGACCCACCCGCGACCCAACAGCAACCCACCCGCGGCCCACCCGCGACGAATCACTTTGCACGAAAAGATCGGCGCCTGCGGCGGGCTCGTTGTAGAACTTGTGGAACTTTGGCGCCTGCGGCGGGCTTCTCCAGAGTCTCGTAAAATGCTGACGTTCCCACCGGCCCCTCACTTGTATCCGCACCTGCGGGGTGCTACATTTGCGTATGTATGTAAATATATCTATATATATGTATATATGTATATATAGGTGTATGGATTTCACCACTTCGACTGCACAGTATAGATTGCACCACGTAGATTGCACACATACGTTGCTAAAGATATTCCGCTTGGGCCCATTATTTTTTCCAGGTTTTGAATGGTTTTGCCTCTCTGGGCCTCCCTAGAGGCCTGTTTAAGAGTATGTTGGATGCTTCTTGGGTTTTCTTGAAACATCTTGGGGACGTCTTCGAGCCATGAGGGCTCTACGCTGGCAATCATGTTTCTCTGAAGCCGCTAACCCTCGTTGTGCTTTCAGCCACGACCGTGGCGGTTTCGAAATACGCGTTGCCAGATTATTCAGGCACGGCCGTTCTTCTGCGCTATATTCTCGGCTCCAAGGCAAGACAGATGGACATTGAGCGCGCGCGCGCGAGAACCGCGCGCAGTGAGATCCTTCCATAGCAGGCCTGGCTTGACCCGTGGCCGCCATGGGGACCGCTATCGTGCGGGACGCCTGTCCGCTTGACGGGGCGCTCGCGGGAGGCGAGGCGCCAGACGCGGGGGCCCTGCTGCAACGTGCGATCGCTCTTTGCCCGTGCGCCACTTCCCTTGCCCAGGCGCCTAGCTAGGGACCTGGGCCGCTTGCTGCTGGCGGCCGCTGCTGGCTGCTGGCCACCTCTGGCTGCTGGCCGGCGCTGCCCGCCGCGGGGCGGCCGCCGCCGGCGGCCGCCGTGGACCCGCCGCGCGCCGCGTCGCCAGAAGCCCCCGCGGTGCAGCCGCGAAGGGGCGCGCGCGTCGGCAAGGGCCGGCCTCCGCTTGCGCCGAAGCCCGCGCCCAAGCCGGTCGCGCCGGTTCGGCGGGCAGGCACCGAGCCCGAGCCCGACACGGAGGAGCTGTGCGTGTCTTCCGGCAGCGGCTCGCGCACCGACGAGCACCAGGAGGAGGAGAGCCTTTCCTCAGAGCGTGAATTCCTCCCCCGCTTTCGCTTCCAGGCAAAACCAGGCCATACCACGCGCCTCCTCGTCAAGCGGCCTGACCAGTACAGGCCGCAATTTGGCATCGTTCGGTATCTCTCGGAAGCGAGGGTGGTCAAAAGCGAGGTAGGTTTGTTTTCCCCCGATTTTCCGCGGCGAGCTTCGCCGAGGGCGGGCGCGCGGCGGGCCGCAGCTCGACGGCGTCGGCCGAAGCAGCAGACGCCGAGCTTGCTCGGCTGCCGAGCGGCGGCCGCGGCGTGGCGGAAGGTGCTTGCCCGCTGCCCCGCTGGCCCATGACCATCGATTTTGACAGAGCGTCTGCTTTAGTTCGGGCGTCGATGGTATGTATAACCGCCCATGGAAGTCGACTAAGAGCTATCCTTGCCGCTTCGTGTACTCCCCCATCAGCCCCTCCGGAACAGAGAGGGCGGGGCAGCCGCCAAACAGAAGATCCGGGTCTGCCTGAGCAGGGCCAGAAGTAAACCATAGTAGCCTTCGCGGATCTTTCGATACGGGAGCCACTTGGCAGCTCGCACGGGCCGTGGTGGGGCCCCATTGTTTGCAGGCTTTGGTGCCCTGTTGTGGCCCTCTTGGGGCCCGCCTATCGGGGCCACCTTGGAGGATATCGATCCAAGATTGGGAGCTCATTAAATGGGGTCCCCCCCTCTGGAGCCCCGAGAGTCGCCTCTTGGGGCTCTCTCGGAGCGCTCTTGGGCGCTCTCAGATCCGTCTTGGAGCTCTCTTGCGCCCGCTTTGGGGCTCTCTTGGGCCACCTTGGAGCCGTCTTGAGGCCTCGGAAGTCCATCCGAAGCGAAGAGACGCGAGTGCAGCAGCAAATTGTTGTGCTTGGGTCCTGTACGGCTGGCGAGCTCCGTGGCCACGTGGTGCAGTCTTGGGGCAGTCTGGCGCTATCTTCGGATATCTTGTGCTCTCTGAGGCCCTCTTGGAGCCATCTTGGGCCATCTTGGGCCATCTTGGGCCCCCCCCCCTCCAGACCCAGTGGCAGCGCAACTGCTGCGCTCACTCCCACCCGCCCTCCCAACACATTTTCAGTAGTAATTGCACGAGTCTTAGCATGGTCGGCGGTCGACTTTGGATGGACAGCTACTTGGAACAAATACGGTCCCCAAGTGCGCGACGCTGGGTCAAGGTGCGCCGCGCATGCCAGGATCGCCGGGCGCGCCGGGCGCTCCCTGGGGCCCGAGCGCGCCAGGCTCGCCAGGTGCGCCGGATGCGTCACGTGCTCCTCGTGCACCGAGTGTGCAGCGTGCTTCAGCCGCGCCAAGCTTCCGCATGTCCGTCGGAAACCGGAACATCTACATCATTAGTGGCGGGCTGTTTTTCAGTCCACGGACTTTTTTTTCAGGGCTGGGGACGGCGTCGGGATGGTGTGGTGCATACTTTGGTTTTACGTTCCCTGGGGAATCAGCGGCACCCGTATACACCAGGGTCCCGTATACACCAGGATTTCTTGTCGTGTGCAAGGTTCAGGACAGGGCCGGAAAACGCGTCTGTGTATACAGTCAAAAACCCTAATAAGGACGCGCGACTTTGTTCAGGGTACCCTTGCGTCCTTGCTCTTCCTTGCTCTTGCGTCCTTGGGGTTTTCGTCGTCCGCCGCCCCAAAAATGTCAAACTTCGGCTTCCAAGGGTCTTGCGTCCTTACCGCGCGTCCTGATTAGGGTTTCTGACCGTAGAGTTCGGTTCCCTAGTTCGGGGCGCGCGCAGAGTGCACCAGGCTCGCCCGCGCACATCGGGAAGCATGTTGGCCTCACCATCCTCGTCGAAAACCGGTGCACGAGTGCGGCGGAGTGGGCTTGCGCACAGCAGACAGTATGCCAGCACCCCCGCCGCCCCTGTCAAGAGCCAACGTAAAGTGGTCACCGGGTGCCCGCGCACGATCCGGATGTAGCCGCGCACAGCAAGCCGTGTGATGGCACCCCCGCCGTCCCTGTCAAAAAAGCAATACGGTGTCGGCCCCCGAAGAGAGGAGCAAATGCCGCCACCGTGCACAGTGCCCGCGGGCCCCTCGACGTCTTGCAGCAGCGTGCACCTCGCTTTGTACGTGGACAGGGACAGCGGGGGGGCGTCGTGGACCCAGGCGCGTCGACCGCCGGTCGCGCGGGGGAGGGGCTGGGCGTTGATGCGACCAGTGGGAGGAAACACCACGCGGGCCGGACAATTGTCAGGAGGGAAAAAAAACCCACAGACACAATTAATCGGCGATCCCCAGAAAATATGGGAAAATATGGGAAGTCGGGGGGAAGACAAAAACCCAGAAAATATGGGAAACTATGGGGGATACTTTTATTTGTGTGTATTTATTTGTGTGTCCCAGTTCCCCTTCAAATTGGCGTTTACTGAAGGGCCCTGGGCGTTTACTGAACAGCCCCGCCCTGTTTGATTCCTTCTTTGGGTGCGTTTGCGAAACGGCTTCGCGTGTCGGGGTGGTTATCATCGGGGTGGATGTTCTGGCCTCTACATGAAGCAGTGATCCCCCCCCGAAAAACGGCCGTCTCGCTCACTCCACCCGCCCTCCCGACCCCCGCCAAACAAATAGCGCGCACCCGAGGCTCAGCACTGGCAGGGGCCAGTTTTGATCATCCTCGGGAATCAGTGCACGCCAGCCAGGTGCGCGACGCCCGCGAGGTGCGCCGCCCATGCCAGGGCACCCGCAGCCTGGAATCGGGGAACAAACAGTGGCATAAACAGAAGTGTTCGGAGGTCCGCGCGGACCTCTCGGATCAGCACCGGGGCCCCCTTCCCCGGCGCGCCTTGCGCGCAAACGGCGGCGACGGAGGCGCCGCCAAGAGGCCCCAGTGCAGATCCGAGAAATCGGGGGGGGTCCTCCGACAATTTTATGCTTATGTCACGGTTGTTCCCCCATGGAGCGTTCCCAGAGTTAGCGTTCTTTGGGGTTGCTAGGGGTCACCGAGCGCGTTCAACTATCCGCAAAGCGCTCATTCGAAAATGTCAGAAGGACATGTATATTTCGACGCAATGGATCGTGACCCCCCCACAGCGGATCCAAGCCATTTGCGAGCAGTTAATATGTTTGAGTACCTGATGCGGTTCCTCTCTTCCTCCTTCCTCCTCCTGCTCCTGCCGCGCACCCGTTCGCTGCTTCGCAGTCGAGCGTTCTTTTTTTCCCTTGTTTCTCTTCGCTTCGTAGTCGGGCGCTCTTCTGCCGACGCGTCCCTCCAGATGTTTGGCTTTGTATGTATGTATGTATGCATGCATGCATGCAGGCAGGCAGGCAGGCAGGCCGGCAGGCAGGCAGGCAGGCAGGCAGGCAGGCAGGCAGGCAGGCAGGCAGGCAGGCAGGCAGGTATGTATGTATGTATGTATGTATGTATGTATGTATGTATGTGTGTATGTATGTACATTGCGAGTACGGTGGGGGCGTTGATCAAGGAATGCGCCCAGGAGGCTTCAGACCCTGGAGGATTCCTTATATGGTGAGGTCGGCAGTGACACCCACGGCCAATCAACGGCTGGCGTTCCACCAGCGTCCTCAGAGCCCCGAGTCATCAGGGGTAACTCGGGTCAGGGCTAACTCGGGTTCGTTTTTCGGGATTCCGAACCCGAGTTACCCCGGGCCCGAGTTTCCCCGGATAACTCGGGCTTCCAGAGCCCCAAATCATCAGGGGTAACTCGGGTCAGGGCTAACTCGGTTTCGTTTTTCGGGAATCCAAACCCTCGTTACCCCAGACCCGAGTTACCCCGGATAACTCGGGCGCCCAACTTCCAGACCCTGGATTCCTTATCCAACGGTTCCTTATCCAATGCCCCCACCGTAGTGGAGCGGGCTCATCTCGGGGGGGCCCCGCGGACGACTCGCGGGCCCTGGCGAGGCCGGGAGGGGCGACGGGAACCGAACCGCCAGGAGGGGAGCGCGCCGGCGCGGGTCCACGGGGGTCAGGAGGGAGAGAAACACACAGACACAATTAATCGTCGATTCCCCCGAAAATATGGGAAACTATGGGAAGTGGGGGGGAAGACAAAACCCCAGAAAATATGGGAAAATGTGGGGAATCTTTTTTACTTGTGTGTATTTATTTGTCTGTCCTGGGGCCCCTTCAGGGGGGCCGGAGGCGAGGGGGGCGCGGCGTCGGCGGAACCCGCTGGACGAACAAGTCGATCAAGCAGTGGCGAGGCGTCCCAGTTCGCCTAGAGGTCTACACCTTAGGCGATGCTTAAGAAAACCTAAGTTTTCGGCCAGAGTTTCGATTATTCTTAATGTTTCAATGTAAATCCTAAGATTTGAATGGGCATTCTGGGTTTTTATTTAAATTCTGAGACTATCAATTTCTTAACCCATGATTTCTAAAGCATTTCGCAGGGTGTACCAAGCAATGTTCTCAGAGCCGTTGTGTGGTCCGCACGAGATGTTCCTAGAACACTTCTGGTCGGGACAGTCCTGTGTTTTCAACACCTCGGGCTTAACTATGTTATAAGAGCACTGTTTTGTTATTAGAACATTTTGGGGTTCTAGGAACAGGTCGCTGTAGGCCTACAGGAATACCGGGGCGGTTGGTCCCTGCTTACGTCTAGGCATCCCAGGTGGGGTCGGAGGATTCCACCCAAGTCGGGCGTTAAGTCGGGCGTGTCCCTTTGCAGGGAGAAAAAATAATCCTAAAACAATATGGGTTGGTTCGACTGTTTTTAAACAATTTTTGGCTATGTTTGACCATTTTCGCTGTTCGTCCAAACTCCGCCTATATGGGGGGGACATGCCCGACCCAAAACTGGCCATCCGTTTCTCTAGGCGTCCTAGATGGAGTCGGAGTAAATGGGGTCGGAGGATCGCACCGCATCGCCGATGCATCGACGATGCGGCTCGATGTGGGGCCCGTGTTTCCCGACGCCGACGTCGCCGATGCATCGCCGACGTCGCCGATTGCATCGCCGACGCATCGGCGATGCGGCGCGATCCTCCGATTCCATATGCCCGAACCCCATGTAGGAAGATTCCTATAACAGCGGCGCCACAATTTGCAAACAGACCAGTTGGTTTACAGCACATGCTTACACGACACACTGCTAAACAACAACTACAGCACGCAGGGTGTGGAAGTCCTACCAGCGTGGGATAACCCATGTGAGTGGTTCAGGCAATTGTTTTCTGTTAGACGTGTTGCCATTGTTGTGGTTCTCCTGGTTGCTAGAATATGTGTTTCAATCCACGTGTTGTTTCGCTTTTGGTCGACGGTTACTGGCTTGTTAGTGGAACCTTTTTTGTTAAGGACTATTCGGGCCGCGCGCTGCCTTTAGGTTTCGTTTTTTTGTTTGGGGCGCCCGCATCCTTATGCATTCGTTGTTCGTATTGGGTCTGTGGCATGAAACTGGCATTGCAGTCCTGGGGCTAGAGATGCTTCCTTGGCTAAAAGAGCTATCATCCCTTTGCTATGGGTCTGGAGCTGGTTTTCTCGGGATTGGCTTTGCTTCTTCTGGGCACGCACTACCACTATCGAGGAGATATGCCCATCCCCCTTGTTGATGATTCTGGGCGCGGCGAGCACGTCGCGCTTGCAATGCAGCGATTGGCGCGCTCGGGGTCGGTAAGCGTCCATCGCCGTGGAATTTGTCACTCGGGCGATCGACGCGCGCCGAAGCCCGAGGCGTCACGGAGCTCGCGCGCCCGAAGGTCCGCCCCCCCCACGATGTTCGGACGGGGGCAGCGAGCAACAATGATATTACACCATGCGGAGAGTGAGTGCTGGTGCGGGGTGCGCGCGCGCACTTCGCTCCCCGCATGGTTTTTTGGGGGTGGGGTGCTCCCTCCTCCTCCCCCTCCTCCTCCTCCTCCCTCCTCCTCCTCCCTCCCCCTCCTTCTCCTCCTCCCCCTCCTCCTCTCCTCCTCCCTCCTCCCCTCCCTCCCCCTCCTCCTCCTCCTCCTCCTCCTCCTCCTCCTCCTCCTCCTCCGCCTCCTCCTCCTCCTCCTCCTCCTCCTCCTCCGCGGCCGTTTTTCCGAGGCCTTTGCGAGAGACAGTGTCATAATTGTCGTCGTTTCGAGCGACGCTGCCATTCCAGATGTGTGCTCCACTATGCTAGAAGTAGCGACGGTGTCATGCGATTGGGTCGCATTGAGTGACAGTGTCATCCGTTTCCCGGGGGCGGGAGGGGCGGATATGATGGGAGGCAAACCGCACCCTTTGCAAACCGCACCCGTTGTAGTCGCCGGACCTTGGAAGCGGGGAGATGACACGCGCCACACCCCCCTGCGACGAGCGACCACGCACGAGCAATGGCCAAGAAGACGACGACGATCGACGAACCACGAACGGCAACCAGGGCGACAACACCAGCGAACGACGAACGAAACGATTTACGAGCGTCGAGCGACGCCGCATATGCGAGCCACCTCGCGCGTCGCATCGCCCGCGGTCTCGTCGCGCGAAGCATCGGCGCGGCGGTCGACGCGCGGCGCTGAGCAGCTGCCTCGCGAAAGACTCGCGCGCCGCATCGGCGAAGATCTCGGGGCGCCAACCGCGCCGGGGTCGTCGCGAAGCGCCGGGCAGACTCCTCGCGCGAGCGGGCAGAGCCCGAGCGCGCGGACGGCGCCTGGCGAGTCGCATCGCCAGCAGCTTCGGCGCGCAGACTCTGGCGCCGACGTCGGCGCGCGGCGCCGCGCAGCGTGGCGCCGACGCCGGGCCTGTGCTCGCGCGCGCGAGTCAGAACGTGAATTCTCCTCCCCGCTTCCGCCTCCAAGCAAAACCATGTCATGCCGCGCGCCTCCCTCGTCGAGCGGCCTGACCAGCACAGGCCGTAGCTTGGCGTCGCTTGGTATCTCTCGGAAGCGAGGGCGGTCAGAAGCGAGGTAGGTTCGTTTGCCCCCCAATCCAAAGATCCGACGTCGCGATTTGTTCAATGCGTGGCCCCGGGAAGGGTCGACCCATTCCCCAGGGCCGGTTTTTGCACCCCGAGTCGTTTTGCCACGGCCCCAGGGCCCAGAAAGGACCCCTAGGAGGCCGAAAGTGGTAGGGAAAAACGCCCGGCTCGATTTTTGTCAATGCGTTGGATCTCTGTCAGGAGGAGAAAAAACACACAGACACAATTAATCGGCGATCCCCAGGAAAATATGGGAAAATATGGGAAGTGGGGGGGAAGACGAAAACCCAGAAAATATGGGAAAATATGGGGGATATTTTTATTTGTGTGTATTTATTTGTGTGTTCCAGTTCCCTTCACTCTGGGAGTGAAGGCAATCGCGCGTTGCGCGATGGTCCCGGGGCGCGCTCGCGCGCGGGGGCCGGCGCGCGGCGCCCGGCAGCTGCCTCGTTCGACCTGGGCAGCGCTCGGGCGCCGCAGGGGGGGGGGGGGCGCGGCCTCGCGGCGGGCGCGCCGGCGGCGCTCTCGGCAGGTGCCTCGGCGCTGTCGCCTCGGCCCGCGACGGCGGCGCCCCGCCGCGCGCGGCGGCGCCCGCGCGCGCGGGCGCTCCTGGGCGCGCGTCGCGGCCTCGCCGCGCGCGCGGGCGCGCCGCCGGCGCGCCCGCCGCGCGGGCGGCGAGCGGGGCATCTGCGCGAGATGGAATGGAGTGGGCTCTCTCGGGGTCCACGGGGCCGCACCCCCCCGGGCGCGCCGGGCGGCGCGCTTCGCACCCCCGCGGGGCCGTTGCCGCGCGACGATTGTCGAGCGCGGGCGGCGGCGAACGACCAAGGACGAACGATCGCAAACGACGATCGACGCGCGACGACGGCGGCGGCCAACGACGACCAGGGCGAACGTTCATCGGCGAACGGCGGACGACGGAGGCGGACGACGATGCACGGACGACGACGAGAGACGACCGAGGAACGACCGCAAACGACGACGTGCAGGCGGCGAACGACGAGCGACGACCATGGGCGGCGAATGGCGAGCGACGAACGACGAGCGGCGCTCACTTTCGCCCCCCAGGAGGGGCCAGATGTTGAGGATGTCTCGATCGGTTTGCCTGTTTGGGTGGCCAGACTCGTGGGCACAGGTCTCCCCAGGATGTCCCAAGAGGCTCCAGGAGGCCCCAGGAAACTCCAGGAGGCTTCAGGAAGCCGCAGGAGGCCCCAGGAGGCCAGAGGACGCGCCAGGAGGCCCCGGATGGCAACAGGAGGCCCCGAGGGGAGGTAAGGTGTTACTGCGGCCCGTTGGTTGTTACTGCGGCCTGGTGGGTGTTAGTATGGCCAGGGGTCCTCCGGAGTGTATTACTTATCGAGTGCGGTGAAGGGGGGGGGGGCC